TGTATGAAATATTCTTCCCTTTTGTATGTGGATAGGTTGTAGCCCCTGGGTCTATTGGAAATTTCCTTAGAACTAGTACTCCAGTCTCAGGACAGAGAATTTTAAATTAACCAAAATCCATGGTGATGTTAATAAGCCCCTTAATTAAAAAAAAGAAAAAGTGCTTGGGTGTGGTTATGTAAATTATATAGTTAAATTACTCAACAGCAGGTGGGCCTGGTGGCACACACCTGTAATCCTAGCAGCTTGGGAGGCTGAGGCAGTCTTAGCAATTTAGGGAGGCCCTGGGCAACTCAGCAAGACCCTGTCTCTCTTAAAATATTACAAAAGGCTGGAGATGTGGCTCAGTGGTTAATTGCCCCTGAGTTCAATCTCTGGTACCAAATAATAATAAGTACTTAATCATAATAGGTAGCTCTGACTACAGTGTATATATAAAATATTTCCATTGACATGGAAAGTTGGATAGTTTTACTTTATTATCATATTTGTTTCATTCTTATTTATTTATTGCCTGGAATGAGAAGGTAAACCAAAAGCAGGGAATTATGCGTGTTTTGTTCACTGCAGCACTGTAGCATCTAGAATAATGTTTTGCATATAATGTGCCCTTGTTCCAGAACAGCCCTGTGTATGAGAACTAACCCCAAGGTACTGTGACACTGAAGAAAGAGACAGATCCAGGATTATAGAGAGTATATTCTATTAGAGACTAAAGACAGAGGATCACAAATATGAGGCCAGCCTCAGCAACTCAGAGGGTCTCTAAACAACTGAGTGAGGCCCTATCTCAAAATAAAAAATAAAAAGGGCTAGGGTTGTAGTTCAGAGGTAAAGCATCCCTAGATTCAATCCCCAAAGACAGAAGTGTGGTCCTGGGTGGCAATAAGACTAGGTGGATCTCTGTGATATGAGTTAAAAGACAGGGGGGTTATCAAGTGATCAAGACCAAAGACACTTCATCAAAGCCAGAATGTGACTGATTTATATCAGGCTAATATCAAAGAGTCAGGTACATTCCTGGTGCCAAGTGCTGGCACAAAACTCCACATGCTACTCTTACTTTTTTCCATTCATTTATGCTGGAAAATTATTTGGGGAAAACTTCCCATGGTCACTTGGGCAATCATAGTGATTTTGACTCAAGATGGGCAGTCATGGCATACCAACCATGTGCTCTCAATTAATATTGATGAAATAACTAAATGCTTTCCCCATTAGAATGTATGCTTTATAAGGAAGGAGAACTTGTATGTATTGTTTACTGAAGTGTCTCTATTACCAAGCACAGAGTATTCCTCCTTATTATCCCAAGTCCCTTTCCACTTTGAACTTTGCCTTTTTTTTTTTTTTCCAGTACTAGGAATGGAACCCCAGGGTGCTCTACCACTGAGTTACACCCTCAGCCCTTTATTTAATTTATTTGAGACCAGGTCTAACTAACTTGCTGAGACTGCCTTTAAATTTGCTATCCACCTGTTACAGCCTCCTGAATAGGTGGGATGACAGGTGTATGCCATCCTATCTAGCTTTGCCTACCTTTTAATCTATTTTCTTTCCCCTAAACAATATTAAAATACTTGAGCTCTTGCAATGCATCAAGCTCATCCTCCTCTCCAGACTTTTGTACATGCAGTTCTCTAGTCTAGATAACACTACTTGTCTTTTCTCAAATATATGGGACCAGCAATAATTACTTGTATTTATTAATGTGAGTCTCTCAGATGGCAAATTGAAATGCCATTGTCAGTTGACTTATACCAAATTGCTATAATTTTTGTCTTTGTTTTCCAGCTTGAAATTTTTTAGAGTTTTTACTCTCTTGTCGTCATGGAAACTATTGAGAGTCCTGAAACAAAGTCAGCAAGAGTGTAACAAAATAAAGACCTTTATTTGCTGCTAGCAGTAGGGTCAGTCTGAAAGTGAGATTGTCCTGTTGTATTTGAATTAGAAAATACTTATATACATATATCATAGGGATTTAGATTGGTCATGAGAAAGAAAAGAAACCAGTAAACGAGAGTATGATGTGTGGGGCAATGCAACTATTCTATCATCATAAGCCAGTGCAGAAAAGTACATTCTGCAGTCTGGAGTCAGCAAGGAAAATTAACAATTTAAACAAGCCCAAAAGATTACATTCACGGTTTTTAGGTTAGAAAGAGTACATGAAGTTAGGGGCTGTGAAAATGATTCTCACTACTTAAAGAACCATAATGTTGAGATCTAATATGCAACATCTAGGTTCCAGCATTTTTTTCTAGCATGAGCACATGATAAAGTTGACCTGACCTGAACTCTCCCCCAGGACTTCTCAGCTCTTAGGAATGGAGGCCTCTCTTTTTATTGGAGCCAGTTTGTTGCAAGCTTCCCCCTATCCTCCTGTACTGAGAATTGAACCCTGGGGTACTCTATCACTTAGCTATATTTTCAGTCCTTTTTTTATTTTTAGACAGGGTCTTGCTAAATTGAAGAGGCTAGCCTCCAGCTTTTGATTCTTTTGCTTCAGCCTTCTGAGCTGTTGAAAATATAGTCATGAACCCACAGGACCTGGCTCATTGAAAGCTTTTGAAATCTTTGTTGTTAGGAAAGCTTACTTGAGAATGAAGGTAATACAGACAGAAGAAGAGCTGAGCATACTAGAGTGTCTTGCTGATATAATTTGAGCCTCATATTTCAGGATGGTCTGAGGTCAGCGGTTTCCCCATAGCTCCCAGTTATGGTAGCAATGAAATCCTTACAAAAAATGTTTTTACATTAGTTTTAGCTGGATTTTCAAAGTAAAGATATGTCTAATATTTTGTCTGGATTTTAAAGCATTTCTTTCTCTTTTTAAATTGAATGTCATCCTACCTCATAGTTATCTGAAAAAAAATATTTTCTTGCTAATCCCAATTCCTTCTGAACTAAATCTTTTTTTTTCTTATTTTTTTTCTCGTTGTGATTTATACTCTTCCACAAGTTCAATGCTAATATTCTCATTGACCAATATTTTCAAAACCTGAATTCTTTACTGTTTTCCTGGAAGAGACTGAAAGTTCAGTGAAGCAAGAAATTTATTCAGTTGATCATGATTTTTTTTTATTAGATAATCAAATTAAATGACCCGAATTCCAGAGCTCAAAGACAAATTGCTGTAGCTGAGCAAGGTGATGTATCTTTGTAATCCCAGCATCTCAGGAGGCTAAGCCAGGATGATTGCAAATTCAAAGCTAGCCTCAGCAACTTAGTGAGGCCCTGAGCAATTTAGGGAAACCCTGTCTAAAAACAAGCACCCTGGGTTCAATCACTGGTACCAAAAGAAAAAGGAAAACAAACAAACAAACAAACAAAAAAAACAAAAAAACCAGACAGACTGCTCTAAAAGAAAAACATAGGTAGAAGGCAGAACAAATTTTGTTAAATAAGATGTTACAAAATAATTAAGATTTAATTAGTCTATGAAGTGAGACCTCTGATATTAACAAATCAGAAGTGAAAAATGTTCTTCAAAATGATAAAAAGTAATGGTCAAAGTTTATTTTTTTTTCCAAAAGCAAACTATTTTTTTCACTGTACATTTATGAAACTGACTATAGCTGGGTGTGGTGGCTTATGCTTGTAAAATTTCAGTTGAGAGGGTTAGGTGGGAGGATTATAAATTGGAGGTCAGACTGGGATGAATAAAAAATAAAAAGGGCCGAAAATGTAGTTCCGTGCAAGGTCCTTCAGTCAATCCACAGTACCGCAATTAAAAGAAGAGAAATAGAATGAAAGAAGAAAAAGGAGTGTATATAATTTTAGAAAAAAAATCTAAAATTGTAGATATGAATTATACAACTATTTCTGTACCAAAAATAAATACATATGTTTTCATATTGTCATATTTATCAGGATTCCTATGCTTCTTGACTAATACAACAAAGTGAAACAGCGGAATAGATCACTTAGAAGCAAATGCCTATTTTTGCTATTTTGGGGGGAATGGACGCTTGTAAAAATGGCTGTGTGTGTGTGTGTATGTAAGAACTTAAGGGTCGGTGGTAAAGTGCCCCTGGGTTCAATCCCCTGTGCAAAAAGAACAACAACAAAAAAGAAATTCCATTAGTTGTCCGACAATTCTAAAGATGAAGGAAAATGTAGACCAGATCCTCAGGTAAATACCAACCTTTAACCTTCCCAGTTTACTCCAGAGCTTCTTTTCCCCCACAATTTAAGCACAAGCCATTAAAGCATGTGCCATCAGGAACTGCAGGGGGCGGGGTGGGGGAGGGGCTGCGGGACACTGGGCCAGATTTTGCCAAGTATTGGGGAATGGCCTCCCCCACTATGCTTAATCCATAGAATCTCTCCACTAATAACCAGGCAGCTCACTAAAGTCTTGTGGAAGATGTATTGTCAGAAAAGCATCAGGCTTGATAAACTTAAGAGCACATTTTGGTGGTACTTGGCGTCAAGAAAAGGAGGGCAGGAAGGGGAGAACCCATGTATCATCACCTCTCTTCTATTCTGAGTACCTATCCTCACAGCTCTGCAAATAAAGGTAGCCCAGAAAGTGTGTTTAAAAGCAGTGTGGAAAACATAAATCCTACTGACAAAACCAACCCAGGGTTCTATCTTTAGAGGTTTTGAAGAGCCAAACCTTTGTCTGAACAACTGTCCTGAATAAAAGTAGTACAAGAATTTATGATTTCTTATAGACTTATATTTTAAAGCACAAGATGGAAATTGTGCCTTCCAGACCTGCTAAAGTCCAGTACAGGAAAAGGAGATAGAAAGGTAGCTAATCCCACTCTGCTTCTTTATATTGGCCCCTATGTTAGATCAAATATTTTGGGGCTAGATAATGGCAGATAAAAATACTGGAAACCTACAAGCAACCGGTTGCAACCCATTTCCAAAGGAAACCTACACCCTTGGGGGCCAGAAAGGACGCGGGGATGCCGCCAGGGGGCGCCATCACTCCCTGCCAGGCGCCCACCCGCGGAGGCGCGCACGCGAGGCTTCCCACCGCGCCTGCGCTGAGGATGGACGCTGGCTCGCCTTTCCCCGACGCCCAGCCGACGGGACCGGGATGAAAAATTGCGTGACACGCAACTAGCGTGGCCGCCATCTTCGTCTTCTGGGCACGTCAGCTTAGCTGGTTAAAGCTGAAGAGGACCTTTGCGCAAGCGCACCCAAGACGGTCACAGGTAACTCCCATCTGACGGGAGAGGCGTAGCCGTCGTCGCCGGAAGTTTGGTGTTTGCGCCGCGGGGAGGCGGTGGCCGCGGCAGAAGCAGCTGAGTGTCTCTGGATACCCGGATGTGAGGCGATCTGTTGGCACCAGTGGGATCCGCAGCCAGGCAAAAGGTATGCGAGCGTTCCTGACGGTCCCTCAGCCCGCGTCCTTCCCTTCCCTTTGCCAGCCCCTCCGGAGAGCAGACGGCTCCTCTTCCTGTCCCTACCTCAGTGTCGTGATCCCTCGCACGCCTCTTCCTAGTCTGGTGCCGGCTCCTCGCGCCGCTGGGAGGGAGGTGGGAGGCTCAGAGACGCGGTCGCCTGAGGTAGGCAGCTGACCTGCACGCCCCGCTGCCCAGTCGCCACATCACCTGTCGCGGCTTGCTGGGCGGACAGGCTTACTGAGGAGCCCCGACTGCGTCGAGTCGGAAAACGGGTTGCCGAGGGCTTTCCGAGCTCAGAGGTGGCGTGCAGCCATCGCGCCTACTGGGGCAGCTTCGGCACCAGCTCCGGCAGGTAGCCCCGGGCCTCGTCCCCGCCCCCGCGTCCTTCCTTCCTGGCATTTAGCTCCAGGCAGCCTCACCAACATCCGCGGGGCTGCGGTTCCTGCGGTTCGCTCCCCTTGTCCCTTGCCACAGTCCGCGGACCTGGCACGAGCCCTGAGGCCTCTGCGGTCTGTGGGGCGAGATGGGGGGCGGGGGAGAATCTTGATTTTAACATTCTTTAGCTTGGGAGGGGTGTGGTGGCCGGGGCCCAAGGTCATGGAGTAATTTTGGTTGGGGGTGGGGGCGGGGCGGTCTGGGCACAGGTTTGGCTGCTCTGGAGTCCTGATGGGTGCGTTGAGGGTCATAGTGAAGTTTATAGAGATAGATGCAAGAAGAGGGAATTGAGTTTCTGATTTTTATCACTGTTCTCAAGAATATATATATTTTTTAGTGGGGTTGTATTTTGCACAGACTGGATGGGATAGCGGGTCCAAAAATTAGAAGCATCCTCCTCTAAAGGATGCGTTGTGAAAGCGCGGCGCGTGCAGAATTTTCCAGGGGGTGGGAGGGGGCGGTGAGAGATGAGGAGGAAGGAATTAAAACCTTGAGATTTGAGAAGTACTATGAACCATGTTTTCTGTAGTCTTAGATGAAATGGGATTTTTCTTTTTTTAAGCAGGAAGTAATTTTAGCTAACCAGTATTAGGAAATTATATTTTAATAAAGTAGCAGAAAATTAAAAAAAACTACTTAATTAGACGTGGGCGGGGTTTTCTCCATATAAACATTAATTAAAAAAAAAACTGGATTAGATCAGGGGGTGTAGCTCAGGAGAGCATGTGCTTAGCATACAGAAGGACTTGGGTTCAATTCCCAGCACTAAAAAAATAAAATTTCGGGAGTAAACATGGAGGTTGCAGGAAACCATGCTATATTCAGCTTCTCCTCTGATCAGGTCCTTAGTTGCTGCTTTACACCGGGCACCCTGACCGCTGTAATTTTTTTTCCATAATTGAAAAACTTAAAAATTTTCACCACCTGGGTACCAATGGAATTCCTCCAGAGAGTAGGATGAGAAGTGCTTTAAAATGCTTAATTTGGAAACTGCAAATTCAGGCCTATACCATGGGAGGAAATGAGAGAACTAGATTTTTAATAGAGCCACTTCATTTTAGCAGTACATAGCTCTTAGGTCAGGTGTATGACTTTGCAAGTAGATTTTTTGAACAAAATTTGCCCTGGCTGAGGAGCTTTCACTCATCTTAATCGTTCTTTTCTGAGGAGAATGTAATTTTGTCTTACTCAATCACTAATATAATTCAGTAATGAATTTTTTTTTTAAAAAAACATGTTGCCAGTATAGGGTTTTGTGCTGCTGGCATTTAAATTGATATGCTTCACAGAAGAACTAAAAAATAATTCTAATTAAGGAATGCCATTAGTACCCTTTGCTGGATGGCCCTTTTTAGTTCATTAAAACAGGAGCTGGCTGTATTTATTCCAATAATGAAGGTGATCAATTTTCCCTATTTCAAAAAAAGGATTTTTTTTCTATTAGTTAATATTTTTTCATGGCTTTATTAGCAGATTTATGTTCCACATAGAGTTATTTGAATAATCTCTACTGAAGGTGATAAGTTTTTATTTAGAAACCAACTTGAATAAAATTGTGATAATTCACTCCAGGACTTTGTTAACCTTTCCAAAACCCAGATTTATTTTTCTATGCATCCTCAGTGAAAAATTCTTTGCGTCTATTCCTTCTTAAGTTCTGTATTATAGCTTTATATTATGCAACCAATTATATCTGCAACTGTAGCATTCTGTTAGCTTTTTTAACTTTAAAAGATATTCTTTTAAGATATGCATCACAATAGAGTATATTTTGACATTATACATACATGGATTATCTTATTCTAATTAGGATCCTATTTTTGTGGGTTTTCTGTCATTTTTTGAGGGAGTCGGGCAGCTTTATTTTAAGCTCACACTGCTTTACACTACATTAAAAACTCAAGGTAACTAAAAATAAGATATTAAATATTACTTTAGAGGTTGAGGTTACAGCTCTGTGACAGAGCACCTGCCTAGCATGTGTGAGGCACTGGGCTCAATCCTTAGCACCACATAAAAGTGAAACATAAAATAAAGACATGCTGCCCATCTACAACTACCAAAAAATAAATAAATAAATAAAAATTTACTTTAATGTAGTTGTTCTTAAACTTTGGTCTCAGGATCCCATTATTTTTTTAAAAAATCATATATTACTAGTATGCATAATAAACTAATTGTAGGTTAATGTAAGTAATTTTTTGAATGAAAAACAACTATAATAAAAATATAGTAAAAGAATGGTAGCTGGATTATGTTTTTTTAAATCTTAAATATTTGGTCTAACAGAAGACAGCTAGATTCTCCAATCAGCTTCTGTGTCCAAGCTGTTATATGTTCTAGTTGGAATATATGAAGAAAAATCCAGCTTCATGTCAATATGTTGGGAAAGTTATTTTAATAACTTTTTCATATAATTGTGGTATTTTTTGTTGATACTATAGCAGAACTCAAGATGTGTTGTTTTATTTTTATTTATTTTTTGGTACTGGGGATTGAACTCAGGGACTTGACTACTGAGCCACATCCCCAACCTTTTTTTTTTTTTTAGAGACAGGGTCTCACTGAGTTGCTTAGCACCTTGCTTTTTGCGGAGGCTGGCTTTGAACTCACAATCCTCCTGCCTCAGCCTCCTGAGCCACTGGGATTAGAAGTGTGCTTGGGGGGCTGGGGATGTGGCTCAAGCAGTAGCGCGCTCGGGTTCGATTCTCAGCACCACATACAAACAAAGATGTTGTGTCCGCCAATAACTAAAAAATAAATATTAAAATTCTCTCTCTCTCTTAAAAAAAAAAAAAGAAGTGTGCTTGGTCAGATGTAATATTTTAAAGGTTAAGTTACAATGTGGAATTTAAAACTTTTTCTGTATACTTTTTGCACTATTACATTAAAATTCATTGGTCTATTTTGTATTTTTGGTGTGCTGTGCTGGGGATTGAAATCAGGCCCTTGAACATGTTAGGTAAATGCTTTACCACTGAGGTACACATCCCCCAGTTTTGTACTTTTTTTTTTTTTTTTGAAAAGAAAAAAGTGAAGTCAACATCAACAGTATTTGGATTTTTGTGATTGGCTTTTTGCACTTAGCCTAATATTTTTAAAGTTCAACCATGCTGTAGCATTTGTCACCACTTTATTTTTTTCTATGGTTGACTACAATAGTCTGATGCAGGTATACCAAATTTTGTTTATTCATCACTTGATAAATTTATTATCGTCTACTTTAGCTAGTATGACTAATGCTGTGAACATTTGGGTACAAGCTATTGTGTAAACATATGCAGATTGTCTTTGAGCTTTTCCTGTGCATTTTGCATAGATCTAAAGAAGATGTGTGTATGTATGTGTGTGTACACATGCATATATATATGAGGGGGTTATGCTTTGTTGGGGTTATCTTTGTTGCCCAGGCTACACTTGAACTTTCTGTCCTCTAGTCTCAGTCTCCCAAGTAGCTGAAGTTACAGGTATGTGCCACTGTGCCCAGCCATATATACTGGATTTTTAAAAATTGCTTTTATTTTTTAAAATACATGACAGCGGAATGCATCACAATTCTTATTACACATATAGAACACAATTTTTCATATCTGTTTATATATAAAGTATGTTCACACCAATTCATGTCTTCATACATGAACTTTGGATAATGATGTCCATCACATTCTACCATCATTGCTAACTCCCTGCCCCTTCCCTTTGTTTGTTTTTATATGTCTTTATTTTAAAATCAGATCTGCTAATTTAGCATTTTCTACCAACTTGGGGAGCAAACATCTTCACAGGCTTTACAGTTTTGCTTAGGAGCTGCCTTTGTGGGATCCTTAGTAACAGCCATTGCTGTCTTTTTAGATACTGCTTAGCTGTTTTTACTTCCTTGTCAGCCCTTATAGCTTGCTGTCATTGAACCTCTCCGACTTCTGGTTTCTTTCTTTCTTTTTTAAAATATTTTTTTAAGTTGTCAATGGACCTTTATTTTTATGTGGTTTTGAGAGTCTAACCCAGTGCCTTACACATGCCAGTCAAGTTCTACCACTGAGCCACAACCCTAGCCCCTAACTTCTCAGTTTCTGATTCCTATTGGCCATTATATTTGCAAGAGATTCACCAGTGATGGCCCTCTGAAGTTTGATGCACATTGGTTTCTCTTTTGAATTTCTTCTGACTTACCCATTTTTTGCTTACTTTTGAGGAGGACATTCCAGTTTATCTGCCAAGGATTCCTCTTGGAAAAGAATGTCAGCTTGGGCTGGGGATGTGGCTCAAGTGGTAGCGTGCTCGCCTGGCATGCTTGCGGCCCGGGTTCGATCCTCAGCACCACATACAAACAAAGATGTTGTGTCCGCCGAGAACTAAAAAATAAATATTAAAATTCTCTCTCTCTCTCTAAAAAAAAAAAAAAGAATGTCAGCTTACATTTTGCATTAGGAAATTGGAAAATCTTTCTGTCAGTCCTGGTGTAACACCTCCCATGTCCAGGGTATATCATGTACCTTCAAAAAATGCATAGCCCGACCCTATAACAAGTGAAAA